CAGCTGCTTTAATATTTCTCTGGATTTTTACATAATTTTATATATATATATGCTACAAGCACATTATTGTTAAAGTCGGTTTTGAAAACATTAACATCTCTTTCATTGGATGAATTTTCTTGCAGCTTTGCCAAAAGGCAAGTTTTTTGCAGACGATGATTCCGAGCCACATAAATGACAATTTCCTTTTGCTCTATACTTTGTAAACAAAATCCTGAACCATATAATATATAGATGGGACATAAAGTTTGATTTATAGGTTCCACTTAGCTTCATATTAGTTCGAGTCATATGTAAATAAACCATATTGTATACGATTGATACAAAGCGCTGTTAATTTGGTAGTGTTATCAGAAAATATTGCGCATACGTTAGCCTTCGTTTGAAAATGCAGCAACTTTAACTCTGTTATCAGTTCTACAGTCAGTGAACGAAATAAAATAGTATTAATTATTAACATTAATAACCATTATGTATGCCGAAGTCCAAGTTAATGTAGCCTATTATGGACTCTAACTTACAGATTATCCATTTTAAGCAAATTGTTGCTGCAATCGAAGGACTAGAGATCATAAGTACTTTGTTTTAAATTTTTAGAAAATATGAATAAAGGATTCGCCATTCGTATGCTATTAGACTTTGCTATAAATACTTTATTTCGATTGCTTTGGAGGCTTATTGAAGCTCTGCTAAGGTGTTCGCCAATCTTCGGAAGGCATAATAGCGCACAAGCAGAAATTTAACCTACTGATACTTTCAATAGTGCAGTTTGCAGTTGTGTGGCTAGTGATTATGCATAGCTACATGAGTAGTTGCTGGGAAATTATAAACGCGAGCTTTTGATCAGCGATTCAATTTAAAGTGGCAGAAACTGGTTACATTATCTATTCATTTAAATATTCACTAATTATACCAAATGAGCCAGTTTTATCCCTCTTCTTTGAGAAATTCCTTTTAAGCATCTATTACAACCATGTGAGACTGTGGTTGTTCAGGCATGAACATACTGTAGTATATTTAATAACGTATTCATAATACCCGAAGCGATGTAGAGTATTCTGCATATAGATGCGTCATATGCCTAACATATGATAGTGTATACTAAATACGCATATAGTGACATTTGTCCCTACGCATAAACATAGGGCGAGCGCAAAGATAAGCAAATGTAATATGATCAGCCACTTATGGTCAGACCACAGCAGCGCGGGAGATGCCGCGTATGCACTTTGCCTAAGGCCTATGCCACTTGCCTAATGTTTATGCCATATGCATATAAGTATATACAAGCAATATATATGAAGCTACATAGCGGAGAGCATAGTATGTCTCCCGCTTGGAGCTCCACTCATTACATAATGTACTTAGGTTAAGAGACGAAATACGCATGAGCCAGGGTATAAGAACTCTTGCTCAGACGAATAAAGATCATTACACAACTGAACACCACCACAGTTATTTGTAGTCACATTTTTTGGTCCTTCGAGCCGGATCCACAAGGCTACGTTTGTGATGCGTACACATTTTTTGGTCCTTCGAGTAAAATCTACAAGGCTACGTTTGTGACAAAGTGTGAAAGTGAAGTGAAAAATTGTTTAAATACCTTTTTGGCTTACCAATTCAAGCTGTGAGTAGAGGCACAGCACGATCAACCAGGCGATCAAAACAAAAACACCTCCAACGGGTCAAGCCAAAGGGTAAATTAAGTTCAGATTTTCACAAAACAAAAAAAAAAACACAATCAAAATGCTGTCGGCAAAAACTCTGGAGTTGCTCAAAAAGCAATCAGAGATCTATGACAAGATCTGGCAGAGCATCACGAACAAGGATGCGTTACCAGCAATTGATAGATTGGCAGCAGAGTTTACTGCCAATCATCTAATACTGGTCAAAATCGGTGTCATCGACCATCAATATTTTAAGGAAAAAATATATGATGGCACAATGGAAAACATCAGGAACTACGAGGAGTCTCTGATGAAAGTCGAAGTTGCCGACCACGCCATAGACACCGACGAAACAGCATCCATCCAACCAAAGACATCCAAGGCACAACACAGGCAGCAGGAAATAATATTTTCCCAAAGAAGCTCGAGCCCAATGGATGTGCTGGTTGACCTTGTGGACAAACGAGCTCTAAAAGTAAGGCAACACATGCAAGAAGTGTATGCCAATCTAGAGCTCAGCAGCCAGGAAGAAGTCCTTGACTATAAAGACAAGTTGATTTTCCTGTGGAACAAAGTCCAGTCAACGCTCACGGATTTAGAGGCAAAATACGAAAAATTTGCCTTCGACATCGATGAGCTCGATGAGCTGGAATGCAATGTCAGCATACTCACAAAAAAACTAAACAGAAGAGTAGCTGGCTTGCAAAATACACAAGAAGACGTTCCACAGCTACCGAAAGTGGATCTTCCTCACTTCAATGGAAGTCCCAAAGAGTGGCCGACGTTCTTCGAGTTATTCTCTGAGGTGATTCACAACAGGAGAGATATCAGCGACACAAGGAAGCTGAATTACCTGAAGTCTTGCCTTAAGGGAGAAGCCAAAATGGTCGTAGGCCATTTATTAATTGGCTCGTCTGCTAACTACAACTCGGCTTGGGAACTAATATGCAAGCGCTATGAAAATACGCGCAAAATATTTGCTAACGCCGTCAACCAGCTAGTGGACATGGAACTGCTGAAGAACAATGATGAAGGCAGTATCCGCAAGTTCTTGGACACAGCAACAGAATGCATTTTTATTATCAAAGAAAAGGGTCAATTTGGTAATGAAGCTGACGCTCTAATCGCTCAAATTCTGTTGCGACGATTCTCTACGGAAGTCCTACAACTTTACGAGCAACACGTAAAAAAGGCCAGAGAAATTCAGTCCTTGGACGATGTACTAGAGTTTATTGAGCAACTGTATAACTCAATAGACTCAGTGCAAAAAAGCGCCGCCCATACGTCAAGGGAAGCAAAGACAACGAGCCACGAGAGTTGCCGTTTTTGCCAATTGACGGGACATGAAATAACCAGGTGTCAGGAATTTAGAGCTGAGCCGGTTAAAAAACGCAAGGAGTTTGTATTCAAAAACTCGCTTTGCTACAAATGTCTAGGCAGCCACAGCGTTAAAGATTGCAAAAAGAATTGGACTTGCAATCAATGCACTAAAGCGCACAACTATTTGCTTCACGAAGATGCAAATAATAAAGAGACCGTCAGCAGCAACTGTCTAAATGAAAATAAAGGACAAGTTACGTTGCTGGCGACAGCGCTCATCCAGATTAAAAATAAGTCTGGAAAATACGAGCAGCTGAGAGCCCTTATAGATGGAGGCTCGCAAAAAACCCTAATATCTGAAGAAGCTGCACAACAGTTAAAACTGCGCCGAACTAAACGGAACGTGGAAGTTCAAGGAATTTCGCAAAATATAGAAATCCTTAAAAATAGTGTTTGCTTAACAATCAAACCCCGATTTAAAAGCAAATTCATCACCACTACGCAGGCACTTGTTATGCCAAAACTTCAGAGAGCTCTTCCGACCAAGAAAATTGACATGGATGTCAATAAGGATTGGAATGGCTGCGCGCTAGCAGACCCACACTTTAACGAGCCCAGTCGAATTGACATTGTCATTGGCGTTGATTTACTTCCCTTAATAATGTTGGGAAAAGTAAAGAAAATCAACAAAACTCTGGGACAAAAGACCGAACTTGGATGGATTGTTTCTGGCAATATATCTGGATTATCAACCAACAAGATAATCAGCGCATCAACAACGATGTGCCTGGACGTCCCAGAGAACTCTGGGAAGCATCGAAAAATCGGGTTGCTATACAGACGGAGACGCAGGCCACGGATTAAGAAGCGAAACCAGAGGCAGCCACTGCTAGCTGTCACATTTGGCCCCCCGCAGAATGTTCAGGCATGAACATACTGTAGTATATTTAATAACGTATTCATAATACCCGAAGCGATGTAGAGTATTCTGCATATAGATGCGTCATATGCCTAACATATGATAGTGTATACTAAATACGCATATAGTGACATTTGTCCCTACGCATAAACATAGGGCGAGCGCAAAGATAAGCAAATGTAATATGATCAGCCACTTATGGTCAGACCACAGCAGCGCGGGAGATGCCGCGTATGCACTTTGCCTAAGGCCTATGCCACTTGCCTAATGTTTATGCCATATGCATATAAGTATATACAAGCAATATATATGAAGCTACATAGCGGAGAGCATAGTATGTCTCCCGCTTGGAGCTCCACTCATTACATAATGTACTTAGGTTAAGAGACGAAATACGCATGAGCCAGGGTATAAGAACTCTTGCTCAGACGAATAAAGATCATTACACAACTGAACACCACCACAGTTATATGTATTCACAGTGGTCTTCGGATAATTGATAATTGAGAGTATTCCTATACTAGTATTTTAACGGCTAACTAGATGAGATTATGTTAGTTCTTTAAACATGACTATGGAGAGGAAAACTTTTAAGGTGCAGTCTCCCCCTGTATGTAATCCACATCACACATTTAATAAAGTTTTACTAAATAATACACATCCACCCAATTTCCATAAAACACCATTTTTCTGCTTGAAAATTTTGATCGAAACAAAATAAAATTTGTCTAACAAAATTTGGTTTGGTTTATTTACACAACATTTAGATTATATTAAAAATTTATATTTTGACTTCAACTATTCTAAAAGCCAAAAAAAACTAACTAACCATTTTTAAATTTAGTCGATTGTTCGCGACTGCAGTGTTTCTCGAAGATTTGTCGATACCCAATTTGACATAAAAACTCACCGTAAAACGCTACTGATGACTTTTTATTCGGGCCGCCAATGCGTAACAACTTCAAATTGTTCATATTTTATAAAATACGCTAAAAATATTGAGTTCAGCCGCCGGAAATTAATGAAACACCAGTTGGCCATGCTTTAATAATTTTCATCTGCGGTACTCGAAACGAAGACTTCCCGCAACTTTTTCTGTGAGTGCAGCCATACTTTTAAATCCCTTGGTATTTCGGTATTTATGGAACGTATTAAGCACGGTCACACCAATTGAGTCTTTCGCAATACGGATTGTTGATATATAAATAAAAACGAGTTAGTTACCGTTGAAAATTAATAGATATATATATGTATATATATATATATATATATATATAATAAAACGAAGTGAATTTATTAACACTCACTCCCGGTATTCATAGAGCCGTGTGTGTGTGTGTGCTTAATTATGTAAAATAATTTCCGCCGGTTATTTTTTGCATCAATCAACACCAATATTCAAACTTTCACGCAGTAACACTAACGAAACAGAAAAAGAATAATAAATTAAAAAAGCTACGCTTTGGCATGTCTTACACGGAGCTAGAGTCGGGCTACCAGGACCTGCGTCATTCCACGCAGAGCAACGTCGTAGCCTCGCAGCAGCAGCAGCAACAGCAACATCATACGCAACAGTCACTGTTTTCGTCGCATTCGCAGCGCGTAGGCTTCTATCTGGGCCACGATGGAAATGTATGCAGCAAACGAACATTTTGCTAGTAACTAACTACACATACATCGAAATACATTCGCTTATATCAGATATCATTTAAGTCCATATCACGCTAAAATGTTACAACACTGTTTAAAATCAATAGCCTGCATGTTACGGTTGTGGTTTTTGTCGTTGACCTTGACTGATAATATTATGGCGAACGACAACTGTTTGCTCGTCGTAGTCACACTGTCACTTCGCCTTAAATTGTGTTTGTTCTGTGTGCAGCACAATAGCTTTTTATAAAAAAGCAGTACACTTGTAGTTTTTGTTAGTAAGCGAGAGCGATTTTCAATTGCATTGAAAACAATCTGAGAAAGCGAATGAAAATAAAACGCAAGTATGTTCATATGTATGAATTTTATATATATTTACAAGGATATACATACATACTTATGTATAAAATGTAAAAAAGAATTTTATGCAAATATACACGCACACACACACCCATGCACATTTATTTATATATATATGTGTGTATCTATTGGCATTATACATACAGTCTGTCAAGAAACACTTTACACAGTGGAAAAAATCTCAATTTTTTGACTTTATGTAAAAAAATAAAGAGTTTTTGTTTAATTTAACTAATTTTTTTTAATGGTTAACTGTTTAATAGGTATTTTTAAATCAAATTATAGAAAACAGAAACAAAAACAATAATGGTGAAACTTAAAAAACAACAAAAACTTAGATTACTCATATTTTACACTGTCAAGAAACTCTTTACACACTTCTTATATATTGTTCTAAATTTAAAATGTAAAACTAATTATAACTAATTTTGAAATACTTAATATTTAATAATTATTGGGTTGAGATCTGGGCTTTGGGGTGGTGTATCCAAGACCTTTCCGCAGTTGTAACCAATTGTTGCAACCAATTACGTACATTATACTCCTTATGTTTTGGATCGTTGTCTTGGTAAAATTTAAAAGTTGGCCGATTTTCACTAATAAAGCCAAATTTGGTTGCGCTTTGGTGTAAATTTGTCTTCAAAATTTGAAAATATTGCTCGGCATTCATTGTGTTTTCAATGAATACCAATTCACCGACTCCTTGGCTGGAAATGCAGGCCCAAACCATAACCGACAGCTTTCCAAATTTGACTGTTGGAATGATATTCGCTTTGTCGTAAGCTTTAGAGACCTTTCGCCATACTTTGGGCGGACCTTCGTTGTAATACACCATTATTTTGGTCTCGTCGCAAAATATAACGTCCTTCCAATACTCCTCTGGGTGCCTAAGCATAGTAAGAGCAAAACAGAAGCGCTTTTCCACATTTGTCGACGACAGCAAGGGTTTCTTACGTGCCACTTTCGAAGAATACCCATGCCGTAGAATAGCCTGACGGATCGTTTCGTGGGACACATCCACACCACACTCTTCTTTGAGCTCCTTGGCAAGAGTTCTGGTCGAGATTTGGGGATTTGATTTGATCTTTCGCATCATAAGGCGGCTTGCCCGATCAGATATCTTTTTTTTTCGGCCACCCACACCCTTTGCCTCAAGTCTTCCCTCATTTTCCGCGCGACTGAGAACGTTGTATATGGTTTTTCTTGACACAGAATACATTTCCACTAATTCTGGAACTGATTTGCCCAACTGCCGATTGTAGAAGATCAATTGGACAACATCGAAGCTTAATCTCTTTCCGGGCATTATTAATCAAAATTTGTATTGCTTTTATATGTGTACTCAGCCAAATTTCGCACAAAGTGAAAAATAAACACAAAAATAGAGATGCATAGACAGATTCTAAAGGCATAGTTAACGGTAAAGCCCCGTTATTTCTTAGAATCAGAGCAAAACAGATGAAGAGAACAAAATGTGTAGAGTTTCTTGACAGTGTAAAATATGAGTAATCTAAGTTTTTGTTGTTTTTTAAGTTTCACCATTATTGTTTTTGTTTCTGTTTTCTATAATTTGATTTAAAAATACCTATTAAACAGTTAACCATTAAAAAAAATTAGTTAAATTAAACAAAAACTCTTTATTTTTTTACATAAAGTCAAAAAATTGAGATTTTTTCCACTGTGTAAAGTGTTTCTTGACAGACTGTATATATACAGAAATATAGCAGATGGAATCGACGTCGACGTCGAGGCCTGACAGCAAGACCATCTTTAACATCCATTGTGGCTGCCGCAGACGTTCTGATTGACGCACCAGTTAACACCGCTTGCTGTAATGTCAATCCACTGGGCTTGCTGCACGTCAATTCGACGCCAAATTTATGTGGTGCGTTTGTGTGTGTGCGTGTGTGGTAGTCTGTTTCTAAGAAATTGTTTCGTGCTCTTGCAGTTTTCTTTTCTTTTTATACCCTGATCCCATTGAAAATGGGAAAGCAGCGTATAATGGCTTAGTGCAAATGTATGTAACAGGCAGAAGGAGGCGTGGCATACCCCATAAAGTATATATATTCTTGATCAGGACGACAAGCCGAGCCGATTGAGCCCTGTCCGTCCGTCTGTTCGTATGTGTGAACGCACGATATCAGTACCTATAAGAGCTAAAGACCGCACTGCTTGCGAGTTGCAAATTTAAAGTTAAGTAGCAGGTAATAATTCACCACAATTCAATCGCAATTTCGTTTCTCCGAATAGAAAAGAATACACGCATTTGAATGTATGTGTGCCCACGTATAGGAAAAATGATCTACATATTCCATTGGATTGGTAGAAATGAAAACTCTTTCGCCTTTTGACCTTATTTCCGACTGAACTTAAATTTTAAAAAAATTGCTTAAAATACACATAAAACTAAATACAAAATTTAGTGGCTCTAGCTCTAAAGGCGTACGACATACATGTATATTTTATTAACTGCATTAAATTCATGTTTTTATTCGATAACAATTAAACGGGAATAGTTATCGAATATTTTAAACAAACTTGTTACGCGCGTGCTTTACACGGACAAAAAAGTCTAGGTTTTATTGATGCTGAAATCAACGCGTTCACACATACGGACAGAAGGATGAACAATCGACTCGGTTTGTCGTCCTGATCAAGAATTTATGGGGTATGCCACGTGCACATGTGATCAAAACTAGTATACCCTGATTTCCCATTTTCAATGGGATCAGGATATAATAAGTCGCAAATGACGCACTGGAGCCGCGCTCTTTTTTGCAATTAGACGTTGCGTTACGTTAAACTTGATTTCAGATTTAGTTTTTTTCTTACAGCTTAATCCCTTGGTTTGCTTGTGAATTATTTCTTTATCTTAAATTGTTTTGCTTTATTAATTGTTTGCAAATATTGTTTTTGTATTTGTTTGCTTATTTGCGGTAACACTAATTAATTCACTTTACTCTATCTGCGTACATAAAAATGAAATATATATATATATATATATATATATATATATATATATATATATATATATATATATATATATACAGTGGTTCACAGCTTATTTCAACCAGCACCTTAAAAAAAGTTTTTTGGGCTAAACTATTGGGGGTATCCTAAAAATTTAAATGCAGGTTGTTAGTGTGATGTTTAAACTAATATAAAATCAATTCATTTATTTTTTAAAATATTTTTTCAATATTTAATAATGTTTAAAAACTAAAAAATGAGACCAAAACAGTTCCACAGCTTATTTCAACCACAAACTTTGCAGCTGATGAAAGATCCGTTATTTTGCAATGCAACGGTAGAGTCTTGTTCTATGCTTTATCACTGTTTTCGCAGTGTGATAAAATAAATTCTTGCAGAATTTTGAAAGCTCAACTTTCAGAAAAGTGAATTTAGCAAAATGGGACCACGCACACCTATTGAGCAGCGGGAACTCGTTCTCAAACACTATAAAAATGGTCATTCCCGTAGAAAAATTGCTGAGATGGTCGGATTTAGTGATTCTATTGTTCAAATCATCATATACCGGTTTGTCCGTGAAAATAGAACCCACGATAAAGGCAGAAATGCTCTAAACAAAATTTTTAATCCCACGGACGAGCGCTATATTGTGAGAAAAATCCGGGATAACCCGAATATATCGGCTCGACAAGTAGCCAATGATGTTAAGGAGGAGTTGGGCAAGTCATGCCACCCAAAAACTATTCGCCGTGTGCTTCGGGAACATGACTTTAATGGCAGAGTACCACGCAAGAAGCCTTTTATAAGCGACAAAAACAAGAAGTGTCGCTTAAAATTTGTCCAGGAGCACTTGCACAAGGACATTGGATTCTGGAATACAGTTTTATTTTTCGATGAGTCCAAATTTAATTTGTTTGGGTCGGATGGGCCCTCATATGTGTGGCGTAAGCCTAACACAGAGCTTGACGCAAAACATTTGAGGGCTACAGTAAAGCATGGCGGAGGCAGCCTTATGGTTTGGGCCTGTATGTCAGCCGCCGGCGTTGGGAACTTAGAGTTCATTGAGACTACGATGGATAAAGGCAAATATCTTGATATTTTGAAGTCCAATTTAATTCAAAGTGCTCAGAAACTGGGCATAAAGGAGGACTTCAGATTTTATCAAGATAATGACCCGAAACACACTGCGGGAATTGTCCAGACTTGGCTGATCTGGAAATGTCCGCACGTTATGAAACCACCAGCCCAGTCACCAGATTTAAATGTAATCGAGAATTTGTGGTCGATTTTGGAAAAAAACATTCGCAAACACAATATATCCAACAAATCGGACCTAAAAGCTGCATTGGTTGAGGAATGGGAAAAAATTACTCCAGAAGTCACCAAAAAGTTGGTGGAATCTATCCCAAAAAGACTTAAAATAATAGTTAACCAAAAGGGTGGTCACACTAAGTATTAATTTTTTATTATTTTATGTTATTTTAGTGTTATATAATGTTATTTCATAAGTGGTTGAAATAAGCTGTGGAACTGTTTTCGTCTCATTTTTTAGTTTTTAAACATTATTAAATATTGAAAAAAAAATTTAAAAATAAATTAATTGATTTTATATTAGTTTAAACATCACACTAACAACCTGCATTTAAATTTTC